TATTTAAGGAGGCGATTTCAGACACAGTGTCATTTGCTTCTTGTTACTTTTAGCTGTAGCCTACATAACAGCTTGTTATGCTGCTTGATATTGCGAACTGGTATTTCTTACCAAATTATTTTAATGTGGTGTCTTAATTAAACACGCTGGTGTTTTCACGGAAGTCTTTCACATTCACACAAAACATCTTTTCTTCCGTGTTTAAAAATAAGGTGGGTAGAACACTGTGTGTGTGTGTCTGAGGTAGTCATATTTAAATGCTGAGGTGCATCCTGGGAATTAGTTCACTGACCTGACAGTAAGTAAAAAAATAAATAAAGCATAGTTATTTTATTTCCTTGTCTCAACAATCTCTAGACCTTTCCTTCACCGTACTCACACTCAGTGACAGTGGGATCGGATGGCCTTGAGGTGCTTGCCTGTCTGTTGTGGACTCGCTGTACCTGAGCAAAGGTCAACTGTGCCCTCATGAACACAAACTTCTAAAGGCCAGACATGACTGACCAATGTCTGTTTGTCAAATACACCTCATGACAGGGTGAAAAAGCAAACAGTGCCCAAAACCATTTAAAAAGCAAAGTCAGAAAAAAAAAACCCTGATGTACTGTATTTAACATTCGTCTGTAAATGTAAAACACCTCACAAATGACTGTACAACATGAGAGTAAACATTTCTGTTGGTTCAGAACTACTTTTGACCATGAAGGGGCAAGAGAAAAGTGCTTGAGACAACATGGCAAATGCAGAGGCAGGTTTTTGAAAAATTGTTGGGAATAATGGTTAGTAATCATAAAAGAGCCAGCGGAGGAAATGTCAGAGATAAAGCTTTTAATGCACACTCTTACCTCTCTGTTCACCTGAGGACATGCTGCTGTCAGTCAGTAAGACAGACAGGCAGACAGGCCTAATGGGTTCGCTCTTTCTCATTCATGCACACATACACTCCCATTGGCTCCCTTTGTCTGAACAGACTGTTGCCCATTCCAACTGCAATAAGAATAGATTTTCTTTTTTTGTGTTTTTTTTTTTTTTCAAGGGGCATGCAAATAAAATAGAGGTTGAACACCGAAAACTGAACTGAAGCACTTTAGAAGACCAGTAGAAGTGAAAATAGGTTATTAAGAATGAAGAAATGTCATTTTACTACCAAATATCACATGTTCCTTCATTGTGTCCTTACTTTGATCCAAATGTTTCAAACAGACGTGATTTCATGAGATCAATGCAACTAATATCCATTTAACTAACAAAAGCAAGGTCCTTCATGACATTATCCTCCTGGAAGTGACATCATTTTGGCACAGCACAAACATCAGTAAGCAAGCAATGGATTTGATTAAGTCTGTGATGTTTTGTGGTATTAATTGGTTTGTCTCTCTCTCTCTAAAACAATCAATCTGTTTGATTAAATAAAAGAGATGGAGGCAGGTCATAGAGGTGGAAGAAGGAAGTTTTGATGATACAGTTATATTCAATCATCTTGGCTCTTAGAGTGATAGACTTGTGGACAGTGGATGATGGTTAAACAGAAGTCAATCAATGTCTCAACACAGATTAGATTGAGATGAAAGAAGAGACTCAGCCAAGATGTTTTTTTAGCCAATAAAAGAGCAAAGAAACCTCTTATGCTCACCAAGACTGCATTTATTTGTTTAAATCAGTAAAATTAAAAATATTATTCACATTTAAAATAGCTGTTTCCTATTTGAATATATATTGTAACACTTTACAATAAGGTTGGTTAATGAACTAACTGCACTTCTACAGCATTTATTCATCTTAGTTAATGCTAATTTCAACATTTACTAATACTTTGTTGAAATCTTGTTAACATTAGTTAATGTACTGTGAACTAATATGAACAAACAATGAACAGCTGCATTTTTATTAACTAACATTACCAAACCTGAACAAATACAGTAACAAATGTATTGCTCATGGTTAGTTAATGTTAGTTAATACTGATGTTAATAATGAACCTTATTGTAAAGTGTTACCGAATATATTTTAAAATGTCATTTATTCCGGTGATGGCAAAGCTGAATTTTTAGTATCATCACTCCAGTCTTCAGTGTCACATGATCCTTATGAAATGTGCTGATTTGCTTCTATATATATATAATATATATATATATATATATATATATATATATATATATATATCAATTATCATTCAGGTTAATTTGTTAGAACGAATGTTTTTAGATATAGTGTAAAATATAAAGCAACAAAGCACATGTGTTAGCATGCACACTGCCCTCTGGTGTATGTATGTGTGCACACCAGCCATGTCCCAAATCATCACTATCACAGGCTTCCCTGCCAGTGGCAATGACATCACCCACCTTAGAACACAGACTGACACTCACAATTAGCCTCTTTCTGTGTGGGTGTGACAGCAGGACTGCTACATTCACCCCGTCTGACGACTTGAGACTGACCGCAACGATGGCCTGAATCTCCTCTGGGAACAGAGGGTTTTTAGTGAGGGCAGTGAAAGGTCCTGTGCCATTTCCAGAGGATTTCTTTCTCTCTTCATACAAAAGGTACACAGCTCACAATTAAAGATGGGAATTGGTCAAACGGTGCTGAATAAATGTCTGGAATTAGTTTTGTGTTTTAAAGCTCATCTGGAGCAGGTATCTAAAAACTATTCCAAAACTTAAAAAGCTGAAATATAGTCCCAAGTGTTCAGTAGACAGATGAAAAAAGTGAACTATAGCACGAATGTGAGTCCTTAAGCCCCCTGAAAATAATACAGCATGGCATGGTTGACAGAAATAATTGGACATCAGATGATGTAATGTCTGAAGGTCTAGTCTGCAATAGACGAAAAACTCGACAATGATCTGATATGAAGTGTTTTACCGCCATGGTCTATCTTTATACTTAAGCTGTGAGGGAGAGCTACAAATTGCACTGCAGCTCACACATGTACACATCTTTTACATTTTGGGAGTGGGAATGGAAAAATAACACTGACAACACAATATGCAGCAATGGAGGATGACCTTAAGAATATATTTTACAGCCAGTGTTCTCTTCCATATTCCCATGCAAATATTATATAAATAGAATAAATATTACATAAATAGAATATATATATATATATATATATATATATATACATATTACGTATAATTTTTTTATTAATAATCATAGCTGACGTACATATTATTATTATTGATGATGATGATGATTATGATCATTTCTCTTTTACATTCCCCAATCCCCTGCATAAAATGAAATGAAAAATGAAATTAAAAAATTAAGTAACTTGGTTGGTAAGTTAAACTTTGAAATTTTTCCTTGAATTTTTGCCTTAAAGGTTGGCTTAAATTTTTAAATTGATTGAACTGGAAAAAGTGAGTTAATACAATGAAGGAGATTCATTTAATCATCAAAAACTCAAAATAATAAGTTATCTGAACTAAATAAATTAAGTTGATTTGACAAAAGAAAAAAATGTTGTGATAACAAATCTTGAAAATATTTTTTTACAGTGTGTCAGAAAATTTTGTCCTAACACTAAACCTAATCCTACCCAACCCATAGGTTATCCATAAAAAAATGTTATCAGAGTAAAATGATAGGTGAATAACAATAGAAGCACCTAACCCTGGTTGGTTGCAAGCCAAACTTCACATAAACTCTAAACATGTCCCTCAAATCTGACTGGATTGGAATGTTTCTCCAGGTTCAACAAAGATGTTGATCCAGGAACATGTAGTACTTGGTAAAATCATGGTCACCCTGTCAGTCATGGTGCTTATGTTTCTGCGATTATTGTTGTCAATACTTTGGTATTAATCTAAATGCGATCATGGCATATGCACAGGGCAGTTGGTGTAGCCAGCAGTGGTGCTTTACCCTGACCTGACCCAGAACCAGGAGCTGGGCTGTGATTATGAGTCTCAGAAGACCATCCAGCCTGCAGCCTTCCCAGAGGCCTCCATATGGACACCAACTGCAATCTGTGAGGACCGCTTATGCACAAATGCTTTTCATCCACATAAATGTGAACATACAGTGCCATGGTCATACGAAATAGTGATGAAGGTTAGTATGCTTGATTTATTTGTCTCATTGTGTCAAAGAAAAGACATATGTTATGTTCCAGTCAAATGTGGAGTGATATAAAGGATCTCTAAGAAACTTGTTGGTTCTTTTACAGTTACCGTCTCCATGAATCAATGTTTGTATATATTTATATAAACTCATGATTAAATATGACAGAATTGTTATCTTCCACCCAAAAATACAGGTTTATTCATCTGTATGTCGGATTGTTGAGCAGAGCAGGAACTCTTGTTTTGTTCCCTTGTATACTGACATAATTCCCATTGGCACTGGGTCACATTACATGCTGACACAGGGCACATTTTTTCCAGATAATTTTACTCAGACTGCCACACTGAATTAACTGTCTTACTGTTGAAAACACGAAGCCTGGACTGATTTACCCAAGGCAAGTTTTGAGGCATGAAATTCAGGCTGCAATTCAAGATCTTATTGAATGATGGGAAGCAGGATGCACACTTCAAACTATTTGCTGTTATATGAGCTGAAATGGTGTGTGTGTGATTGTGTGTGTGAGTGTCAGAGTGGGCTGGGTTATCAGAGCAGAGAGACAGAAGGCAGTTTGCGGTGGGCAGGAGAGAGAGTCACTCTCTTCATCTCAACTTTGCCCGCCGCAGTCGTCCACACACTGCTGCATGTCTCTCTCTCTCTCTCTCTCTCTCTCTCTCTCTCTCTCTCTCTCTCTCTCTCTCTCTCTCTCTTCTTTCTGTCTTTGCTTTTCTCCTGATTTTGCTTGTCTAACATTCTTCTTGTTCAAGCGCCTTATTTTAGTTTCTCTTACACTCTTCAGGTTGCTCTTCTCCTTATTATCTATCTATATTTCCCCACTTTTGTCATCCTCTAATTTTATATCTGAAAGTCTGGTTTAATTAACTGTCCATATTTTATTTACATAACCTGGTGCAATTTGATGGTATCAGATGGAGTCAAGGCATCATGGACCTCAACCTCTAAGACCCACAAGGTAAAAATATCAGTTTAAATGTAATTTATTGTAATTTCCATTCTTTTCTTCACCTTTACCCATATCTTCTGTGGTGAATCCTTTTTTGGTTATCATCCTTTCCTGTAATTTCTATTCCATCCATCACCTCTCTGTCGGTCTCCTCCTGTTTCAGTTGTCAACTTTACAATGTTGCCCTGATTTTGTCCTTTGTACCTGTCCAGTCGATTCATATCTATCTTCACAACAGTTCAATTGTCTTTGTATCTGTCTATGTTTATTCCAAGTTTGTCTTTTCACATCTTTTTTTAGGTCAAGCACCCTGCTGTTTTGGAACATTTTAGTTAAGCTGTTTATTAACTGGTCCAAGCTGATTAACTGGTTCAAGCTGGTGATTAGCTGGTCATTAGCTGGTTCAAACTGGTAGACTTTGGACCACCAACAAACCAGCTACAGTTGGTAATGCTAACCTTACCTTTTTCACCTTACTTTTAATGAACAGCTTGATGAACCAGCCATCTTCCAAAACACAACAAGCAACGTAGGCTATGACCGCTTAGTTTTTTCAAATGGGCATATAGTTTGAAATTTACCTGGAAAAATAAAGAGCATTAGCACTATGCTAAATTGATGTGCATTTTAAGCCTGACCGTCAAATATGCTAGCTTGTTTTTAGCATGGCTTTATAAACTGCCATTCCTTTCTCAACCTGACTCAGTTGTTTATCACTGATAATGATGTGTAATTATGTAAATAAGCAATGTTGTGTTGGTCGACAAAAAATAACAAGATAAACAAACTAACATGACTGTTCTGCTGATGTTGTTAACATTAGCTTGATGGAGAGCACTGTACAGTATGTTGAATTAAAGTGCCAGTTGAGGTTGTGGGTTACAGAGCTTGATGTGATACGGTGTGAAAGACTGTCCACTGAAGACCAAGCACTTTATGAACCGTCACATCTCATTTGCAGAGGATGATCATAGGAGAAAGCCACTTTGATATACAGCATTTTATCAGCAGCATTCTTTCTTATTGCTCCTACGGTTTACAGCCAAGCCATGCCTTTAGGTTGGCGTCACACAAATGGATGTGTGACACATGGAGGCTCAGGTCGGATGTTGCTGCATGAGATGCTTTGGCAGCTGGAGCAAAGAGCACTTCAGGTTCAAGAACAGGAGTTCCAGTACTGCATCTCCCGTGGCATCATGGGATACCGTCACGCCCCAGCATACCCAAGCCTGCTTGCCCTTATCCCTGCTTCTGAACACCGCCAGCTAGAGCGCCTCTGTGGTCGCATCCCACCCTCACACACTGCCATTGTACTTTCCAGGTAACTCACTTTCGCCTTCCATGTTGGCTTCCATTTCTTTGTATTTTTTCAGCCATTTTTCTAAAAAGCTTCTTCAAATGTTCTTAAAAAACGAAAAAAATTTAGAATTTTGCATTTGCCACTTCACAAGTTTGTGTTTGTGCATTCCAGACAGATGTGTATAGGAATTCATGCTGTTTGTCCAAATATCAACACTGATGTGATTACAGTGCTTGTGTGATAATATATAAAAATTGCACCTATAATATTTTACTAAACGTTTTATTGTGGTCCATCAAGGCTCCATGATCTTTTGGCCAACAATGACATCCCTCCCTGGGAACTGGTGGGTGTCTTCAAGCAAGTTCTCAGGGACTTCCTGAGGAGACAGGAAGACGCCATGCAGCGACGTCCAGTCCCTTCAGCTCCACCAAATATTCTCTCTGCTCCCAATCCACCTATAGAGAGTAATGATAGAAATCACATGGCTGGAAATGCATCTAATTCTTTGTCAGAGGAGTCAGGGAATCACAGGGAGGAAATTCCTACCATTTCTAGTTATGTGGATAAACATTTGCGTGCTGCTTGCCCCTACTCTATCCGCAGAGATTGGAGTTTGCCCTTTTGCCACCCGTTTGCTTATGAGGCCTACAGCACCACATTGTGAGACACCTAATGGTAGATCCATCCAACACATCCAACAATCTCATGGCAAAAGAGTGGAGTTTATGTTGTAGAACAAAACATCATCAAGTTATCATAAAACAGTCTTTATTTTACTCATAAACTGAAAAACCCCATTTTAAAACTCCATAGGAAAATCTCGGGCTTTGACCTGGTGTCTCTGCACCACTCTTTTCATAACTATTACAAGTTTTAGTAAAGTGGTGGCTAATTCGTAACAATTTGGACATTCTCATTCATCCATTTTTGTACGATTTACAGCCCATTGACTGTTAGGATTAGGGGTGGACCTTCAAGCTTACTTCTTTTCCTAAATATCATACGAATCACATTGAACAAATTCATGCGAAATCGCCAACTAAATAAAATATTTTAGTTTTCTCATGAGATCGATTTAAAAATCTAGATGACTCCCTTTTCTCCCAAAATTAAAAATTATGTCATTAATGACTCACCCTAATGTCGTTCCAAGCCCGTCAGAACACAGTTTAATATATTTTAGATTTAGTCCGAGAGCTTTGTGTCCCTCCATTGAAAATGTGTACGGTATACTGTCTTTGTCCAGAAAGGAAATAAAGAAATCATCAAAGTAGTCCAACACACCAGTTAGAATGTTTTGAAGCATCGAAAATACATTTTGGTCCAAAAAAAACCAAAAACATTGTATTCTCTTCCGGTTCTGCATTCACGAGTCCAGTGACGCTGCGACGTAAGACAATGCTGACGTGTTCTAGTTACTGGTTACCAGATACATGTCAGCAGCGTCTTACGTCACCAGCGTCACTGCGGACAGAACCGGAAGAGAATACAATGTTGAATAAAGTCGTAGTTTTTGCTATTTTTGAACCAAAATGTATTTTCGATGCTTCAAAACAATCTAACTAACCCCCTGATGTCACATGGACTACATTGATGATGTCTTTATTTCCTTTCTGGACAAGGACTACATACATTTTCAATGGAGGGACACAAATCTCTCGGACTAAATCAAAAATATTTTAAAGGGATACTCCACTTTTTTTGGAAATAGGCTCATTTTACAAGTCCCTCAGAGTTAAATAGTTGAGTTTTAACATTTTCGAATCCATTTAGCCGATTTTCTGATATTTAGAAGAATATCAACTTGACAGTTTCTGGTCTCATTGACTTCCATAGTAGGAAAAAATATATACTATGGTAGTCAATGAGACCAGAAACTATCTGGTTGATATTCTTCTAAATATCAGAAAATCGGCTGAATGGATTCGAAAACGGTAAAACTCTGTTTATCTGTTTAACCCATGTTAAAAAACTGTTTGTCTCTGGGGGAGTTGTAAAATGAGCCTATTTCCAAAAAAAGTGGAGTATCCCTTTAAGCCGTGTTCCGAAGATGAACGGAGGTGTTATTAGACTGATTAAAAGTGATTAACAAGATGATGTGGTGTGATGTTTAAACTTGGAAGGTGAACCATATACTTTTTGTAATTGATCAATATGGATAAAAAGTAGCTACTTTTCAATTTAAAACTTTTTAAAAACTTTTAAAAAATCACCAACATCAATCATCATAATAATAATTCCTAAAAATAAATAATTATAAATAATGTTTTATTATTGTTTTTTATTGTTATTAATAATGTGTTTGTATGGACTACTTTTTATATACTTTTGTGGTATTTTTTGGGGGAACTGTTTAACGGCCTCTGGTCACTATGAACTCTGTATGAACTGCACAATAATTGTTCAAAAAACTTCACTTTCATGTTTAATGGACAAAAAAAACATAAAAATACCAGCATACAGTGTAAGACTTTACTGTCACAATAATGACAGAATTTCTCCCTGATCCTTTAATATTATTAGAACTATTCCTTTAAAGCTATTGTCTCACTTTAGAATTGCTTTTGGATTTGTGTCCATTTGTTTTTCTAATTCAAATTACATTTTTTCTTTGTGCGTCCGCTTTCCAGGTTCCATATAATGACTGATCAAACTGAAAGTAGCACACACAATACACCCAGAGCAGTCAACCCAGATATCCAGACTAATCTGTGATTTTTTTCAGAGTTATATTTCTGGATTACAGAGCAGAGATTAGCCTGAGGGGAGAGGACTGCACCACTGTTTTGCGCATCAGTGGTCCTGCTTCCTGCATGTACTCATGAACTACCGCACACTCTCACCTCTCCCAAGCATTTTACATCAGATACACTCTAATATTCTCTGCTTGTTGATTTATCATGTAGTGACAGAACTGGGTTTTGCATAGCATGGACTGAATGTGGCAAAGTACAGGTTTGATAGTTGTCGACAGTGAGAGGGTTGATCATAAAGCTTCCATCTTAGCAGTGTTATTTACTCTTGACTGCTGAATAACTGTTGGGCCAAACAAAGTGAAGTTCTCTGAATGGAGTCTGTGATCATCAACACAATAGCTTGCAGATGCGATCCCTATATTGTCTTTAAGCACATTTTTCTCTGCTAATGATTTTGTTGTTGTTGTGTCTGTCCATTGCTGTTAAAATGTCTTCACAATTAAATTTTACTCAATCAATCAATCAATCAATCAATCAATCAATCAATCAATCAATCAATCAATCAATCAATCAATCAATCAATCAATCAATCAATCAATCAATCTATCTATCTATCTATCTATCTATCAATCAATCAATCAATCAATCAATCAATCAATCAATCAATCAATCAATCAATCAATCAATCAATCAATCAATCAATCAATCAATCAATCAATCAATCAATCAATCAATCAATCAATCAATCAATCAATCTATCTATCTATCTATCTATCTATCTATCTATCTATCTATCTATCTATCTATCTATCTATCTATCTATCTATCTATCTATCTATCTATCTATCTATCTATCTATCTATCTATCTATCTATCTATCTATCTATCTATCTATCTATCTATCTATCTATCTATCTATCTATCTATCTATCTATCTATCTATCTAATTTCTGATCTGTACTTCAATTCTGTCAGGATATCAGCATGCAGGATTGGCTCCCTGCACACCCATGTAGCCTAGCATGGATGAGAGATGAGAGCAAGGAGAGCATGCTAACCCCCTTCAGGGTACACAGAACAGAACCAGCATGAATGTATTGGAGATTATCATTAATTACAGTTTTTCTCACATTACTATTTACATTTGCACAACAGTTAATGCAGTTCTCAAAACAATTAGTACAAACTGCAAAATCCAGTTAATAACCTGCAAAAGCGTGTCACTTGCTCAAAATGGATAGCTCAGAGTCATTCCTCAAAAGCAAACGTATTCATGTCAATAAAAGTGTCAGTGTCATCAAGATGAAAAGTCCTGACACCATTGTTTATGAACAAGATAATCAAATGACTTTATGCTGTTCTTTTTTTTTATCAGAGAAATACACACTAATGAAATACACAATAATTTAGATAGGCTACACTATTTCATTTTCTGATTTATTTGTGGACTTTCAAAACAAAGAGATCATGTGGTCTAAAAATATTTTGTAACATCTACCATTTTATAGCATCTAATTAAAAATAAATTTATTTTATCTAAAAAGGTCGAACTATAAGAGACTATAAGGAGAACGAGAAATAAATCGAAGTGTTACAAAAATATAGTCGTCAAATGCAGACTTTTATTTTGATTCCGGGGCTTTTAATTACAAAGCGGAAACCTGCAGAGATCTTCCGCTACATCGCTTGAGCTATCACTGCTGAACAGTGACCTTCTCCGTGTGGTCCAGTGCACTTAAATATTAGAGGTGAGTCCATTTGCTGATAAGAAATGCTATAAGATTTCACTGTGCATGGTGTAAATAATCCCTGACCATTTCAAGAAGATTCACTGTCGTTTAAACCATTACTTTTTTCGTTTATTGGACCGTGTATGACCAGGCCTTTCTGAGTGCCTTTAATGCATCAACATCGGCAATCAAGGCTCTCCGCAAACTTGATATCTGAATGGCACACATGAATCGAGGCAAATGTTTTATAGTCTCAAATTTGTCCCAGTAATGGACTGTGACACGTCTTGTTCTTTTCGCTATTCAAGTTAACTTCATATTGAATTGAGCTCGCCATGAACTCGCCTTATTCATGCAGTGATAAACCGAGAATGTTTTTGCTCTTTTTGTACTTAAAATTCTCCGTGTTTTATTTATTTATTTATTTATTTATTTTAATTGGCCTTATTGGGCTTATGTCCTTGAAAGTACTGTTTGTGTCCTGTTACTCCGTTGGTTATTTGTTTATAACACGTAATTCGAATGGCACATATATATTATTACATATTACATTTGCACATTAAAACATATGTTTGGTAATCGTGCATATTGAAGCCTTCTAGACAAATGTTCATGCATCTGTATGTTTTGATCACTAGATGGCAGGTGGTGCATTCGCTGGCTGGTGGTCTAAGATGGGACCCTATTACACCAAGGCCTACCAGGAGATGTGGGTTGGTGTAGGAATCATGACTTTCATGTACTACAAACTTTCATATGGAGGTGAGAGTTCAAGTTTATTGAAGAGCTCTTCAGTATTGTATGCACGCATCTATGGTTACATGAAGAACTTTTACATCCTTAGTTCCATTCAACAAAATATAAGTTATTTAGATTTTTAAAAATGTTATTCACAATCACATACTTTTATCAGTTATTTTAATGGACAAACCATAAGGGTTAAATAAATGGCATCACTCTGAAAACACCTTTATTTTTAAGACTGTACTGTCAACATGGCGTGAACCTGTATTTATTTTGGTACACAATATAATTATGTGCTGTGTAAACATTATTTATCCCATAATGTATAATAATAATATGGAACCATCATATGAATAATTCTTGGTTGTGATTATATGATGAACTAGGCCCAAGTAGACTCACTTTGTTACACAATATATTCAGAAACTAAATTTCTTGTGATTTGTACAAGGCAAAACATTGCTTGCAAAAGTTCTTGTTTAAATTATTAATACTAGCATTGCTGTTTTGCAGGAAAGAAGAAAGCAGTGCAGTCAAGTAAGTATTAACTGTATTAAAGTAATAAAATTTTGTTAAAACATGAAAAAGTTCACAAGTTTCTGAAATATTTTAATAGTTTTAACATAAAATAAAATGGAAAAGGGCCTTATTTGTGGGGGCATATGTTGAAACTTTGGGGATCTGGCATGACTTTCTTTTTCTCACAGAGCCCGCCCACTGATTGGATCACCGGAGTGTCATTCCCCATGTCTTCTCGTCCCCCGAAGAACTTTACCTGAATATATGTATTTTGTTTTTTGGAAACAATAAAATTATTGATTTGGATCACAATATGGACTCACTGCCTTGTTGTCTTTCACTCTGTCTTGCAGGAAATTCATATTGCCAAACATGAAACTGTTTGACTGTTAACTTATGAAATTAAACTATTTTAAAAAGTCCTGCCAAATGTTTTTTTTTTTTTTTAAATGGCTTCAGTCCTTGAAAAACATTTGGTTGTTTGGGCAGAGACAAATCAAGTCTCTTCATTGAGCTGATGTTAAATTCCTCTTGAAAATGCTTATTGACAATATGTTGCATGTAAAGTTTTATTGTTTTTGTTAGCAGTTTAGATTAAAATCATATTTGATGTCATGTTTTGTAGTTCATGTTATTGATCAGTAGTGGGTGTTAGAGGACTTCTAAAAAAAAATCTGTATCTAAATAACAAATGTGAATTTCTCAATTGTTTGTAAAACTCTAAACATACCATTTAAAATTATACATTGCAATATTTGTAGCTGGAAACAACTACTGAGTGAATGGGTGGAACTGGAAGTATTGAAAGTTTCCAATGATATGCCGTGTTGCTTTGAATTTAGCATTGAACACAGTCTGCAAGTAATGGCACTTTTAAAATAACTTCTTACCAATTAATGTGACTCAATGAATAACTACGGGCGTAGCATAACCTTTTTTTAGTCCATCACTTAGAGATTTTAATGACTACACATCCAAACATTCATAAGTCCCTATGCATCAGCTCCACACATTCCTGGCATTCCAGCTCTGCGCGTGCCATGATTTAACACAACAGCGCGAGCAGCTTATATTCGCCTCAGCCAGTCCGGGCAGTATATTGTATTACTTTTGTTTTCGTACTTTAAAAGGTATTATGGCAATATCTGACTTAATTTAGATGAATAACAGTGTTCTGATTTCGTTTTCATTCGCTTCACGTATTGGAGTGTTTTACCTGGCTTCAGCTAGCAGGCTAACTATTTTAGCTCTCTTTCGCGAGTTATTCAATACCCAGCAGCTCAAGAAAACGAGGAACACATCGTGTGTCGTTTCTAAAAGATTATGGCATAGCCTATGTGTACTCGTGACACGTGAGTATGATGTAGTTTTAACAACCGCCGATGTGTTCTCATAATGTTTGTTAACATTTAACGTAACGTTACTGTACAGCGAGATGTTTATGTCAGTGCTAACTGGCTAACAGATGTGAGCACTGGTAGAATGAACAGGGCGGATAGAGGAAAACTCTTTAAAACGAACGTCTTTAAATGTGACAAACATTGGAGTTGGTTTAAATAATTTGTTTCGAGGTTTAACACACCGATGTATAAGTAATTCAGAGTGAGGAGAGAATGAGTTACGGGCATTCAGTGGGTGTATTAGAAACACCCAACATCTGCCATTTCTACACACACAACCAGCTGATATTCCAGTTTAGCGAGATTCTTTTAAAGCTTCTCTTTAATGTGTCTTACTCCGCTAATTAATGTGATTACAAGTTTCGTATCACGTCAACGTTTAATCAAAATAAGATAACACGATGTGCAGAGCCATGGCCTGTTTGGCCTGTATTTGTTGGTGTTGTGGACATTCATGTGTCATGTTGGTCAGTGATAGTGCAAGTGAAGTTGTTCTCTTGCTGTACAAAAGGGGCTGTGATTTCGGGTTGGACCTTGTGGATGTTGTGAAAGGCGAAGTGAAGCTGAAGACCAGATGTTCCTCTGACACTAGCAAAGATGATGCCTGTGAGTATCCCTTCTCTTATTTTGTTATCAATGTGTTAAAACAACGCAGTTTGTTTACATTTTACTAAATGCTTCACGTGGCGAGGCATACATGATTCTTATAGCAGTGTAGTTAAAAATGTTATCCCACATTCCTACATTTTTGTTTTAGCATAGTATAGTATAGTAGAAAATTCGTACAGTGTCTTGGTTCATAACACTGGCAGTAGTGTGAAGTTTGATTTGTTGAGAAGGGTGTGGGCTTCCTAGGCCATGCCAGGGGATTCATTTATATTTGGCTACTTTTGAAAAAGCTGGAATATCCTATGTGTAAGAACATGTGGCTCATGCTGTGCTGTTTTAACTCCACTGATCATTTAGCTTGCTCAATACAAAACCTGTGTTTGAGATTGAAAACTGAGTCAAAACAGATTAGTTTTAAATGTTGTTTTTTTGTGACGAGGCTTTTGTTTATCCTTTGTTGAGGAACTCCCTTTTCTCTATACTTTCCATGTACTAATTGCGGCTATTAGTTTTATTATGTTGATGCGCAGAACTGCTCGTAAAGAGAACGTTGTTGTTTTTCAGCCTAATGCATCAGTATTTTCCAGTAATGCTAAGTCATTATGGACATTTGTTTCCCTTCCTCAATTCTCAAAGGCTCTCGTAGATATACTGCAATTGATGTTTATTTATTCATGATTTTATTGCTCCTTTTTATTTCCACTTTGAACACAATTACAATGAAGGATGAAAATCCACTTTATCTTTTATTATTCATTTTAAAATGTGAGTATTTGTTTTTAGGCAACATTTCTTAATGATTGTTTACAAAGACTTATAGTATATAAGGTCTTTTTTTTTATTTGTTTCTCGCTTTACATTATCTCATTTGTTTCAAAACTGCCTCACAGAAAATCATTGGGTTGTCACAACCTCTAAGACCTGGTGAAGTAAATTACTCTGAGATCACATATTAACTCTAAAGGAAACATTTTATCATTAAACATTAACTTTGAGCACATTTAACCCACAATGTTTTACGTTTATCAACAAAAGAGTATTTTGTGACCTTGATTTAGTCTTTTCCTGCCTAATCTACAGATTTTGATCATCTGAGTAATTATTACTTTATCCCACCTGTTTGTTTCACTGACAAATCAAAATGCAATAATTACAAGTACCTACTCGTAGTAAAACAAGCACCATGTCTAATGCAGATTATGTTTATGTCTTTCTCCCTTATGTGGCCAGTTCTCAAGCAGAATGTTTGAGTAGAAAGCACAGATTGTTTTGATTGCTGTCCTTTTGACAGCAATATAAGATCGTGTTTTGCTGTATAAGAATTTGATTGGTTGCAAGTTGCAACTAAACAAAACAACAGTAAAATGTGATTGTACTGATTTTTATTATAGAGCGAAAAGGTGTGTTCCGGCCTTCCTCGTAGATATAAGTTGGTATATTGATGATTAGGGAGGGAGGCTAATCTCAGTATCCTAGTGCCTGCCTATAAAGTGAAAAAAGCACACATTTGTTTTGGAGGACCTGCTCTTTTCAACATGAGGCAGCAGATAGGAGGACTCTCAAGGCTCAGGTATACGTTTTTTTTTTCATGTTATCACACAGTTGAGCGCACAATGCAGACAGATAGACAATCTAATTAACCTCACCTTTCTTTTCAAGCACATCACTTGCACGTGCGTTGTTGACACAAAAATCAAGCTGCATCCACATGCATGATTCAGGATAAATTGTCAATCACGTTTTTTTTGTGTTTAAAATAGAGATCACATTTTCCCTATGATTTTGAATAGACAACTAAACAAAATAACATTTAGTTGTTAGAGGTTCTGATGAATTTAATTGTTGCAATCTGTTTAAAATTGTTTAAATGATTTGAAGGAATGATTTAAAAAAATGGTTTGAATGATTCATTGTCTTGCTCATAAAGACATCACTTGGTTCATGGCTGGATGAATCCGCATTATTAAATTACTCTGACAAATACGTTTTTATTTATTTCTCAATCTATTTATTACTGTCAATTGGTGGACATTTCTCACCCTTTATAACGGTGTAATTGATGCAATCTTTTTTTGAGGTGCCAAGTCACTTTCAAAAGGTAATTTGCTCAATTATGACCAATTCAGTAGACATCAGTGTTTATATCTGAACTATACACTTTTATCCCAGTACTTATGTGATAATTTGACCTATTGTAACAGAAATAATCTATTTCTGTTACATAACAACTGCTCTCTCTCGGGGTCTGTGGCAGATTTTTATGTTCCACTGTGATCTTTAATGTCAAAGGTTGTGTAGACCGTGTTGGTATTTAAATCGATATCTTGATCTTTTAACGATTAATCATGTAACTCTAATGAATTCTGAAGACTGTCTGCGAGCTGGAGCAGAGCACGAACAAGAGAAGTATACTCTTTGGTCTCAACTGTGCTTTTGTGATTTGTTTTAAACAGAAGTTTCATCAGCTGTTGTTATGATGGCCATTTAATGCACTCAATGTCCCAGAGTATTAGAAAGCAAAGTTGGCTTCCTGTCAAACACTGACCTCTCATTTGCTTACTCAAGGTATGTTTACTGGTTGTAAAATACGTCCTGAAATAAGTTTAGCCAACCCAGAGTGTTTATGGTTAACACACAAGACATTCTCAGAGCGACGAATCGACGAGTCACCATGGAAATGGACGATATGAAAAAGTGCGCCATTCGACTTAGTTTTGTTTCATGGCTACTTACGTACTTGGTGCACTTGGTCCTGTTTGGTGGTTGTGCAGTAATTTTTCAATCTTTTTGTGTAATATTCTTTAATATTTTATATTTTTCGTTTGTTTGACGCTAATTATATAATAAAAAAAGACTAATTAAATGTGTATATACCATATGTATATGTATGTACTGTAAATGTGTATACATATTACACACAAGCTATTTTAAAATCAAATAGCTTTCTGTGTGTCAATGCAGCCAATTCACATAACTAACTTGAACGAAATGTGAAATGTTAAATGTTGGGAAAATGTTCACAATTTTGAAAGGACTCTTATTGAAATGGCTTAATTTTGAATGCAAATTCTTGTTATGTTTTCTTAAAGTATAATGTGGATTGTCTACTTTACCTAATTTGACTTTTTACAGGCTATTTGTCCGAATATTTGATTGGTTTGCTTTCAGCTTAATTGCAAAATCGGCTTTTAGGTACCACACCATTCATTTTCTACTTATTGATTTAGACTCTAGCCTCAATTGTTTTCTGTTGAAAGCATTATTAGATCCGCAGCTGCTTTCAAACAAAGGATGTTAGGTTTGGTTTCCTGCATGCTGAAGCCCCTACACCTTCTCCCTATGCTGATGTTGGCAATGTTACTGTTAGCTACAGCCGGTAAGCTGCCTGTGCTGCAATTGGCTGGCAGCCATGGAAACAGCCAAATGAGGAGTAAATGGCAAACTCACAGCAGGGTGTGGTTGAGTTCAGCATAAGTTTAGAGCTATAAGATTATGGTCCTATATTTTTATGCCTGCTTGACTCTTTGTATGTAAAACCAGGGGCTAAACAGGTGTGCAATTACCTGTTACATAGAGTGAGTGATGAAGAATAGTGTTGTCAAGATACCAAAATAATGAATACCTGACTAAAATATCTTGATGATAATACTGAAATGATGCCATGACAAAAACTTAAAACAACAGGAAAAGTAATTGAAAAATAGATGGCAGAACATGGAACTTAACATTCTTTGTTTTATTTATTAACAACATGACATCATGACTTTTGCGTAAACATACACGGCACTTTCGAGTCAAGTGGCGTGTTATCTCTACGCATTTTGTATGTATGTCTACGCCATTAACATCCGAGTGATTCCGCGTGTCTGTACACGGCACGCCGTCAAATGTCCGCGCGAAACTAAGCAAAATGTAGATCTACATCTGGGGAGCGATCTTTTTTTTTCCTAGGATGGTAAGGGAACCGTCATAAATGCCATTAACCCCAGTGACGGTTAGGTTTAGGGACGGGGTTAAGGTAAGTCATATATTTATATAACGTTAAGTCAACGGCGTTCATAAACACGCTGAAAAGCGATTATGCGTCTTGATAGTACGCCAAAAATGGAAATACGAATTGGCGTGTCATACACACGCTACTTCATGAGATCAAAATGAGAGGGGTATTTGCGACATTGATACAAGATTCAAGCCAAATTAAAGCTATTAATGCCCTCAACTGCCTCAAACTCTGAGGGTGAAAAAGTTAGCTTGACACAAATCACACTCGTTGGACATCTATTTGAGGACATTTAAGGATATTTATGTTATTAATCACATTCATTCTGTCATTGATTTTGTTTACGTTCCCTTAAGACACTTTATTGTTCTAAAGTGGCAATAATTTGAAGCAGTGCTTCATGGATCTATTTACATACCAGCTATCTAATATGAGAGGACTAAATATTTGGCACGCCCAGACAGTGTGCCTGGAGGCATCGGAAGAAGAGTGTATTCTTTTGCTTTCTCTAGAATAATAGACATACCCAGTCTACTTAAATGAACTGTGAGAAAGCTGTTTTCCAGGACTCTCAATTTAAGACTGCGAAGAAGAGCCTACATGCCATTTGGATCACAAGAGACATCCTCCATGACCTAGATTGCTCTATCATGCTGGGAATGCAGATGCATGATGGGAAATGCCTACATATGTACTGCCTAGTGGCTATTTGTATCAAGAGAACTAGAGCAATGTCTAAGCCAAGAATCAGAGTAGATGAGATCAAAGAGCATACTTCATCAAACCTCAGTAGAGGTCAAAGATGCACAGACTCAAGAGACACGTTCCCAAACGGTCCTGTGGTGTATACAATAAAGCACTTTAATTGTCTACTGTTTACTGAAGAGGCCCTATGCTAGCAGTGTGCTGGATACAGGGTCACTGATGCATTTCAGAATCTGCGCCAGGGTCTCCATGGATTGTTTTAGTGAGCAGGCAGAGTGCTAGTTGTGAAAAC